TAGCAGGTACTCTCACTCAATGATGGTATTGTTGTTGTTACGTGCCATGAAGTCGGTTCCGACTCATAGGGACCCTGTACAGGGTTTCCGAGACTGTAAAATCTTTACGGGAGCAGAAAGCCTCATCTTTCTCCCGCAGAACAGCTGGTAGTTTCGAACTGCTTACTGTGAGATTAGCAGCCCGATTCGTAACCACTACACTAACAGATGGTAGGAATGCAGAATGATACAACGACTTTGGAAGACAGTCAGGCAGTATTACATAGATAAACATAATGTTACCATTCTCCCAGGTACTTGCCCAATTATGTTGCAAATTCATGTTCATACAAAATGTTGCTCATTAATGTTTATAGCATTTAAGCAATTCTTAATTTCCAAAAACTAATATGTAGCCAAGATGTCCATCATTAGGTGGATGGCTAAGCAAACTATGATACATTCATGCAATGGAATACTACTCAGAAATAGAAAGAAATGAGGTACCATGTCACGAAAAGTCATTAGGAACCTTAAATATGTACAATTAAATGAAAGAAGTCTGAAAAGATTACACAGCAGTACTGTATGATTCAAGTTATAAGACAGTTTAGAAAAGGCAAACTTATATAGATAGCAAAAAAAAAAGGGGTGGGGTCGGTTTGGAGAAAGGGGGAAAGGACAACTACAGAAAGCACAGGGGATTTTGGAGCAGTGAAACTACTGTGTGAGAAAAGATAATGACACACATGCAGCCTCATGCATTTGTCAAAACACACAGAGCTATACAACACAAAGAGGAAACCCTTCTGTAAACTATGAGCTTGACTTAGTAAGAATGTACCAGTATTGTTTCATAAGCTGTATTACACTAACACAAGATGTTAATAGGTTCTTTCAGAACTCTATCAGTGTACACTGGACTCCTGGTACAGGGGTGTACCTGTAGGATCACTAGTGTACCTGTAGGAGTGCTGTAGGATCAGCACTGGACTGCGAAGCACAAGATTAGTAGTAGTTCAAACCCACCAGCAGCTCCTCATAAAGTCCTAGAATAGCAGTGTGTATATATATTTGTGTGTATATTAATGATATTCTTCAATAATTTTCCCACTCCACTGGATCACCTCTCTTTGGAATGGGCACAAATAAGGATCGCATTCAATAAGTTGGCCAGGTAGCCATCTTTGAAATTTCTTGACATACGTGTTTCTAGCATTACCTGCACTTGATGGAACATGTTAATTGGTGTGGCGTCAATTCCTGGAGCCTTGTTTTTTGTCAAAGCTTTCAGAGCAGCTTCAACTTTTTCCTTCAGTACCATCAGTACTTGATTATATGCTAATTCCTGAAATGGTTGAAAATTGACGGATTTCTTTTGGTATAATGACTGTTTATTCCTTTCATCTTCTTGTGAGGCTTCCTACATCCTTCAATTCCACAGCCATAGAATCCTTCAAATTTGGAATCCAAGGCTTAAATTTTTTCTTCAGTTCTTTCAGCTTGAGACATTCTTCCCTTTTGGTTTTCTAATGCCAATTCTTTGCACCTTATTGCAAAAAAATTGTTACAATATTTTACTTTGTCTTCTTGAGCAGCCCTTTGAACTTTGAACTCTTTGTTCAACTTATTTACGGCATCATTCCTTCCATTCACTTCAGCTATTCTAGGCACAAGATTCAGTTTTAGTGTTTCTTCTGACATTCGAGTCTTTTCTTTCTTTCTTGTCTTTCTAATTACCTTATGGTTTCTTCATTTATGATGTCCTTGATACCATCTTATAACTTACCTGGTCTTCAGTCATTAGTGTTCAACGTGTTGAAACTATTCTTGAGACGGTCTCTAAAGTCAGGTGGTATATATTGAAAGACTTACTTGGGTTCTCGCAGACTTATTTTCATTTTTCTTCAGTTTGAACCTGCATCTGAGCAACTGCTGGTCTGCAAAGTGGCCCCTGGCCTTGTTCAGACTGATGACATTTAACTTCTCCATTAACTTTCTCCACAGGTGTAAGATGATTAGATTCCTGTCTGTTTCATTCAGCAAGGTACAAATGTAGAGTCATCATTTATGTTTCTGAAAACAAGTTTTTCCGATGAATAGATCATTATTGTTTTTGCTGTTGCTGAGTGCCCTCTACCCAGTTCCAGCACATAGAGAGCCTTCCTGCGGTTTCCAAGGAGTGGCTGGTGGGTTTGAGGGCCAACCCTGCAGTCAGCAGTTCAGTACTGACCCTTCAGTGTCACACCATGACTTCACTCATGCAGATGTGGTCTCCTGAAGCATTTCCATCACGAAGGCTGTATTTTCCAATTCTTGCTCCTTTTTTGTTTCCTTTCTTTGCACTCCAATCACCAGTAATTACCAATGCATCTTGACTGTATGTTTGATCAATTTCAAACTGCATCAGTTGGTTAAAAATCTCCAATTTCTTCATTTTTGGCATTAGTCTTTGGTGTATAAATTTGAGTAAGATCCCTATTAACTGGACTTCCTTGTATAGGAGCAGGTATTATTATTCTATTGGTGACAGTTCGGTACTTCAGGGTAAGTTCTGAAATGTTATTCTTGACGTCAAATTTGACACCATTCCTCTTCAACTTGTCACTCCCAACTTAGTAGACCATATGACTATCAGATTCAAAATGGCCAATACTAGTACATGTCAGCTCCTCAATGGCTAGGGCATTGATCTTCAGGTGTTACATTTCATTTGCGATGACTTTCAATTTTCCTCACTTCCTATTTTATACATTCTATGTTCCAATCACTATTGGATGTCTACAGGTGTCCTCTGTGTAAGCCAAGCCCTATCAGCAATTCAAGCCTCGGAAACTTTACTCCATCCACACCATTAAGGGTGACTCTATTTTAAGGAGGCAGCTTTTTCCCAGTTGTATTTTAAACAAGGGGTTCGTCCTCACCACTGTATCAGACAAGCAACTCATAAGATTTTCACTAGCCAGACATTTTCGAAATAGAACAATAGTTCCTTCTTCCTAGTGTATCTTACACTAGAAGTTCCACCGGATCCTGTCCACCGTGGGTGACCCTGCTGATATCTGACATACCAGTGGCACAGCATTATAGCAACATGCAAGCTACCACAGGGTGATGCTGACAGACAAGTGGTAGAATGCTTAGGTATGACTGAGGGAAAAAAGCAACAATAAAAATAGGCAAAGTTCATAAAAGAGTTCTTTAAAAAAAAACGTATTTTAGAAATACTGAAAAGATGTTCACTACACGCAAAATAATAAATTGAAAATGAAAAAATATGGTATCTTTTTCACATATCAAGCCAGCAAACATTAAGTTGTTGTTGTTGTTAAGTATCATGGAGTCAGTTCTGACTCAATGTTAAGTAAAAGGAGAGAAATTCTACACATATACTACGTGTAGAAGTACAAACTGATGCCATTATTTAGCAAAATCTACTGAAATCTAAATGGCAAATTCTTTTTGATCAAGCTGATTCAACTCTGCAACTTTACCTTACAGATATACACGTACGCTTTTACTTATTGACTATCTTGTTACCAGGCATTTCCCACTTACAGCAATGCTAAAAGATATTCTACCAAGGACAGTAAGTCTGAGGCAGAAGAGCATTGGTTGCGGTTGTTAAGGTTCTGTGTCCACTTGGCATGGCTAGAGCAACATTCTCAGTGGTGGGCACGTATGTAATGATGCAGTCACCCCCCATCTTCCCATAGCACCTGCTTCCTCGTAACAGCCTGGGCTTTGGAACTTCACAATACTGGTAAGTGAGCAGTGGGTATGCTTGCTTACGTTTAGAAAGGCACGTAAAGGAGGAAGATTCAAAAAGTTCATGGAGAAATGGAATTGAAAGATAATGGAATTTTTCCATGAACCTTTGAAACCCATTCATTGAACAAAATGTAGTTGCTATCAAGTCAGTTCTGACTCAGAATGGTTTTATAGACAACAGAAATAACACTTGGTCCTCACACTTGTTGCTATGTTTGACCCCATTGTTCTAGCCACTGTGTCAACCCACTTGTTGAGGGTCGTCCTCTTTTTCACTGACCCTCTACTTTAGTAAGCATGGTGTTTCTCTCCAGGGACTACTCCTTCCTTATAACATGTCCAAAGTACATGACAAGAACATAGCATTACAAGAGAACAAAATGAACAGCAGACAAGAAAAGTTGTATGTCTCCACTGATGAGGAGTGGCCGAACATATTATGGCACTTCAATACAACACACAATGCTTTAGTTGTAAAAATGATTAAACATTTAAATGTCCTTAAACGGAACTCTCTTAACAGATATATAATATCTATATTGTTAACTAAAATAAGTTACAAAAAGAATATGTAATGAAACAAGCTATATGAATGGTTGAATGTGAAGCTGATGATGTGCCCTGTAAACTTTCACTCAATGCAAACTAAAATAAGTTACAAAAAGAATATGTAATGAAACAAGCTATATGAATGGTTGAATGTGAAGCTGATGATGTGCCCTGTAAACTTTCACTCAATGCAAAATAAAAAACATTTAATTTAAAAAGAAAAAGAATGTATACATCATCATTGCATCAAACCAATATCCTCCTGATCATTAAACTCAGAGAATACAGAGAGAGGAG